CCCCAAAACCCCAAAACCCCAAAACCCCAAAACCCCAGATAAATATTATTAATTAAAAATACTTTTCCAATATGTCAACTTGAGGAGATTATAATTTATCCAAAACACTTGGTGCAGGAGCCCAAGCAACGTAAGTAATAACTTATTAATTGACAGGAATATTCAAATTCTGTAGATATCTAATGAAAAACTTAATCTTCCATATTAATGAAAACCAAGAACGTAATTATTGTTCAATATCTTTACTGTAGTTCCAGTCATAATGGGTTCTAAGCATAGAAATTATAAAGCACTTTATCATGCTTTCCATGAGAATCTTTTACCATACATTAAAATCCCTTCCTAAACTACCCAACCACTTTGAAAAATCCAGACTCTAAATACTTCCAAACCTAAAATCTTGCAATAATTCCCACAAATAAACAGTTTGCCCCAATTCTCACGCCCACTTACTTTCTCGTTATCAAGGCAGAACCTCAATCCTTCCGCTTAAGAATAAACCCAAGTTTAAACTATCTCAAATCCTTCAGGAATAGCTTTGTTCTCTTCACAAATCAAAATCTTACACTTTGGACTATAATTTGGATTTAAATCTTATTTGAGGCTTAACAATTACCGAAGGAATTTAATGACTAGCTTAATTTATCAATGGAGCAGGAAGCATCTGGCTTATAGTAGCTGATTGCCCTTTAGATAGCAAATGGAGGTTTGTTGGACGAATTTTGGGAGAGGGATTTGGTATCTGAATGGAATTTATGTATTGAAGTTCGAGAATGTGAGCAACTGAAGGTTTTATTGAATGATGTTGTTTTAATTTGGATGGGGATTGGTATTTTGAAGTAGTTTTGGGGGGTTTTGAAGTTTAATAAATACTTGAAGGCTAAGAGGGGCTATGGATGGATCTTAAGTATATTTAGAGTTTTTTCATATTGTTTTTACGATATTTTGGAATTTTACACAATGATAACATCCCAGTATTTATTAAAACTCGTTTAAGCATCGATACATAGAGAATTAACCTTGTAATATAGTGTGAGGATAGCCAGGAGAAGAAGCACTGGAAATTTTTGAGCTGCCAAACTGCTATACAGTGAAGAAGAGCAGGACCGAAGTACACAAGGATCTTATAAGAAAGATGAGAATGAAATCAGATCGATAGAAGAGACTAAAGAAGAAGAAAAAGATGAAGAGAGCAAAAAAGAAAATCCTGAAATTATGGTCTTGAGTGCACTAAATCATCCTAATATTATTCGATTATTAGATTATGATTTAAATGCTCGATATACGAACCGGAGATCTCAAGTCTCTAGAGTGACAATGCTTATATTCGAATATGCAACCAATGGTTCACTTCTTGACTATATCGCTCTTAGTGGAAGGCCATTACCAGAAGATATTGCAAGATCTTATTTTCATGATTTATGAGAAGCTCTTAACTACCTTCACAGTAATGGAGTCAGCCATAGAGATATCAAACTTGAAAATATACTACTAAATAAAAATTTTGAACTGAAGCTAGCAGATTTTGGATTTGCTTCAGGGGTCACAGGCAATACAACCAGAGTTGGAACAATTACCACAGGTAAAGTAGCAAATATTATTTCATTAATCTTGATTTTCTTTATTATTCATGATTTGATTCATTCATAAATTAAACATTTTGAAGTTTTGTCACCAGGGAAACTCGCATTAAATAAGCAAAACACTTTCTGAAGTAAAAAGTTGGGAAATTAATTATTTACAAACTGTCAATTGTATTATAAAAGACAAAGGTTAAAAACTGGCCACATTTTCGTATTGTCACACTAAACCCAAGAAATAAGCTAAAAATTCTACCCAAAACCACTTCAAATCATTCAAAACTAACCTAAAACATCCATAAAACACCTAAACCTTACAAAAAATCTAACTACTTAGACTGGGCTGAAGGTCCCCAAATAGAGGGTTGGAGAAGTAATAGTAGCGTTTAAGAGGCAGGAGGGAGACTTTGGGCTGATATGGGGTGGAGAGGGGGATTGGGTGAGGAGAGATTTGAGTGTTGAGGTGTTTGGATGTGAGGTTTAGGTGATGGGAAGTGGGTTTGGTCCTGTGAGGATACTTTTTATAGTAGTTAGTCTTTGGGAGAAGATATTTGTTAAAATGTGGATATGGAAAGGAGTTAAGGAGAAGTATTGGAATTTTTGAAATAAAAAAGAAACTTTCAGTTTGGATTTGTGAAAGCATTTGAACTATGCGACTGCATTTCAGGGGTATTGTGTAATGCTTTGATTCTTTGAAGCTAATTTAATGATTTAGCGGCTCCAGAAGTATTGATGGCAATGCCTTATAATGGACATTGTGCAGATATCTTTTCGCTAGGAGTTGTTCTATTTATGATGGTTTCAGGACATCCTCCTTTCAATTGAGCAAACCCAGCCTCAGATCCAAGATATAAGGCTTTATATATTAATCAATCAGATTTTTTTTGGAAAACGCATTTTAAGACTGATGTTGAGAATATTAACAGATTCAGTGATTCTCTCCAAGAGTTGATTGTTTCTATGCTAAGCTTTCGCCCTTCCCATCGTCCATCACTTTCAGAAATAATGAACTCATCTTGGTACCTAGCCCCTCCATCCCCTCTCCTCGACCTTCCTACTCCAGAACCCCTCCTTCCACCCTCCCTTGCCACTGACTCAGACTACAAAACCCACTTAAAAGAACTGAAAGAGGGGATTGACCGAGAGAACTCCAGAAAGGAAGAAGAGTGCCCAGATCTGCCCTTCGACCAGGAGATTGTGGACTACCAGATTGTGAAGAGGGGTTGAAGAGAGGGTTGAAGGGACAGAAAGAGCCGATTGTGGTGGTTACTGAGAGGGAGTGTACGAAATTAACAAAACTATTCTCAAAATCAGACCCTGAGGAACTCCTGTATGCTATAACCTACTTTGCTAAAGACATTGATTGAGAAATAAAGGACATTTCAAACTCAGAGTACTCAATCAGAATAGAAGTAGCTCCTGTGGAAGAAAATGATATCTTAACTGAACTTAGAAAAGAAATGGACATGCGTGCCGCAGAGCCTTCTACAATTGCTAACACAGAAATTATCATCACGATCCAACCAGTTGATGACTCCACTTACTGAATTGACTCGGCCATGACTCAAGGGGACTACTTCCAGTTCGCTAATATCTTCAAAGCCTTGAGAGAGTTCCTTGGAGGGTACGTTAATGCTGATGCCCCACAGACCATTCTTTAAAAAATGGTAAATCAAATCCTTGTTTCAGTTTTTTAGACTGTATTTGGGGTTTTGGGGTTTTGGGGTTTTGGGGTTTTGGGGTTTTGGGGTTTTGGGGTTTTGGGG